GTTATCCTATGTGTCCATCCCCGGCATGTTATCCTATGTGTCCATCCCGGCATGTTATCCTATGTGTCCATCTCCAGCATGTAATCCTATGTGTCCATCCCCGGCATGTTATCCTATGTGTCCATCTCCGGCATGTTATCCTATGTGTCCATCCCCAGCATGTTATCCTATGTGTCCATCCCCGGCATGTTATCCTATGTGTCCATCCCCGGCATGTTATCCTATGTGTCCATCCCCAGCATGTTATCCTATGTGTCCATCCCCGGCATGTTATCCTATGTGTCCATCCCCGGCATGTTATCCTATGTGTCCATCCCCGGCATGTTATCCTATGTGTCCATCCCCGGCATGTTATCCTATGTGTCTATCTCCGGCATGTTATCCTATGTGTCCATCCCCAGCATGTTATCCTATGTGTCCATTTCCAGCATGTTATCCTATGTGTCCATTTCCAGCATGTTATCCTATGTGTCCATTTCCAGCATGTTATCCTATGTGTCCATCTCCAGCATCTTATCTTATGTGTCCATCCCCAGCATGTTATCCTATGTGTCCATCTCCAGCATGTTATCCTATGTGTCCATCCCCGGCATGTTATCCTATGTGTCCATCCCCGGCATGTTATCTTATGTGTCCATCCCCAGCATGTTATCCTATGTGTCCATCCCCGGCATGTTATCCTATGTGTCCATCTCCAGCATCTTATCTTATGTGTCCATCCCCAGCATGTTATCCTATGTGTCCATCCCCAGCATGTTATCCTATGTGTCCATCCCCAGCATGTTATCCTATGTGTCCATCCCCGGCATGTTATCCTATGTGTCCATCCCCGGCATGTTATCCTATGTGTCCATCCCCGGCATGTTATCCTATGTGTCCATGCACACGTAGACTGTAATCAACGTTCTTTGGCTGGGAAGTTTTTTGGCTAGAAAAAAAACCCAGGACTAGTGGGTTTCTAGAGGAGTTTTTTAGCTGTAAAAACGCAGTGAAACGTCGCAAACCGGAGTTTTTGCACTTTTTTGCCAAAAAAAAAAAAGCCTCTAAACGCGAATGCAAAAAAGCTGAAAAACTCATTTTTAATGTGACTTTACACAGCTAATGTTACCAGCATTATCAAAACGTCCCGTGTGCATGGAGCCTAAGACTTTCAGTGGGGTGTGTTCATTTTTGCAACATGCTCTTGAATGAATTTGTTAGAAAAATTACTTTTCTGTGTGTGCAAATTAAAAAATCTTTTTTGCAATTAATGACCTGTATTTGTGGAAGGATTTTATAGTATTGTGTCCCATAGAAAATGTTGATTCTGAAAGGAAAGTAAAGATTTTCTGACAAATCTGTTGGGGTGGGCTCATTTATACCGAGCACTGTGATTCCCAGCCTGTTGTCACACTGAGGTGGGGGAGAGAAGAGGCATTTGCTGGAACATGATACATTTTCCACCCTAAATGCAAAAAGATGAGCTTATCCTGTAAAAGAAGAATAATATAAATACCAATAAAAGCATTACTGCAGTTACATATGCATAAAAGACACAGAAATGGCACAGGTAAGCGTGGTTTCATTCTGGGTAAGACTTGCCCTATTTTTGATGTGTATTATATATTAAAAAAAATATTACTGACTAATTCACAACAAGAGTCTTTGATTTTTATTGTAACGTGTTTATGTAAAGTCACATTACCTGTGAATTCTGCAGCTTGTTTTCCGAGTAACAGCCGCCATTTGCGCACAGCTGTGCTGCCTCCATGGACTGCAGTGACATCCACTAGCGTCTGTAGCACATCTGCTCCACTCCAGCACATCCCGGGCTCGCTTCTTTCCGTGTCACTAGCAACAGAATTGGTTGCTAAGCAGAAACATGCAGCATCTCATCTACGGTCTTATTACTCATGCAGTAAAATGTATTCTGATTACTTTAAAGACCACAAAACTGCAGAACTTGCCAATATACGTAGTGGTAACTGGGGTGCATAAATGGGAATTAGAACAGTTTTTATACCTTTTTTTTTTTTTTTTGGCTGGAGTTGCACTTTAATTTGCAGTTTTTTCTTTGCCACAAGTTATCAGGTGATAGCGGAGGTGACCAGAGTATATTGGAGGGCTTCAATCTGATGACACGTCATGTGCACGTGTTTCATTAGATACAAGAAATCAGAATTCATTCATTCACTAGAATGAGAAATGTGACTAATGCTTATTTTATAAAATGAAGAGAAGCCGCGCCATCTAAGTGCAGAAATAAAAAAATGTATTTGCACAACACTGGCAACTCACAATAATAAATAGTGATCCCTTATGATTAAGTCGATGACGAAACGCGTCAAGGGGAAGTGACGTCAACGCGCACACGGGAACCGGAAGTTGACCGGCGGCCATCTTGGGTGAGGGAAACGATCATCTGATTTCCCCTGGGCACTTCCTGGATAACAGTAAACCACTTCTGAGTACTTTTTAAGCGTTTTTATGCTGATAAAATGTGAGCATCCTAATTAAAGTTGATTTTAAGATTGATTCTGGCGGTATTATACTATTGTGTTTCCTATATATTCATATATGAAACATGCTTGATGTGGATATATGGAGTCTCAAGGCTGGTGGATCCTGATGCTAATATGAAGGCAGACTATATTGGGTAAAGATCAATAGGAGGACTGTCTCCCACCTTCTTTTTGGAAAAATATAAAAAAGCGGCTGTTTTTCTGAATATTGGTAAGGGTATGCATTCCTTACTACACTTAGAAGTGTCACAGTGCTGGTTGGAATAGAGCACTGAAGAGTGATTCACATTCACAACGGTTTTGGCTTCACAGTTTTTTTCACTTTGTTCACTTTTTCACGGATTATATGTGATTGGGTATTCACTTGAATGAAGTCACTATTATGTATTTAGCTATAAAAAAAGATAATGCACTATGTGAATATTTTTTCTTTTTGAGGTATATTATCGGAGGAATTTTTTGAACACGAGAAGAATTTGATTTAAAGATTGGACTTATAGGGTTTGGACTGCACATAGTTTTTGAGGATTTATTGGATAGCATCTTCTGTCTGTTGATTTTTGTACATCTTTTGGGGTGAAGGTGTTGATTGGTGCTGTGGGGAATTGGATTTATTCATTAAGAGAGTGGTTTTTGATTTTAACTCACAATAGTAGTCAAATGAGTGCTTGTTAGACTGGTGTGAACCGCTGATCAACTCTGATCTACTCCTACTGCAGGCAGGTCTCTAATGCACTGTCCTTGGCTATGCTAGTGGCTCCCAGTACTTTCTGGTTGGCGTGGAGTGACATCAGCTCCAGGTACTACAGTGGTACGCGTGGCATACATTCAGCGCATGCATGCGCCGGACACCTGATGGAGCATGCATGCTTCGAACAAGTGCCACGCCTGCTGCTGCTGTGCCCTGAGCTGATGTCACTCCCGCTTGCCCTGTGGATCTACACCAACCAGGAAGTACTGGGAGCCACCAGCACAGCAAAGGACAGTGCATTGGAGACCTGCCTACAGCAGCGGGACCAGACCAGAGCTGCACAGTGGTTGACACCAGTTTAACAAGCACTCATTTGACTACTATTGTGGGTTGACAGTTTTGTGGAAATAAATTATTTGTTTTTATTGCTTCACTTAGATGGCGCTGCTTCTCTTCTTTTTATGGTTCACACAGAGGGGTTGAATTATTAAAGGAAAATAGACTGCACTTTGCAGTTGCTCCAGAGCTTAATACATTAACCTCCTAGCGGTCTGATTATGTCAGTATTTCTGTGCTCAAAGTGGTACATTTTTTGGATGGAAATATGTTGTTTTTTTTATTGTAGGCCTGTCATTTTTAGGAATAACTCACTGAAATCTGTCCGAACAAGAGTCTAGTAAACATCCCGGATATGATAAAATTTGAAACACGAAATCATAAATTATAATTTAATAAATAATCATAAAAAATAATAAATTGAATTCAATAATATAATCAAACCAAACACTCTGAAATTTGAAATAGAGCGCCAAGTTCGCACATCGCTGAGCAAAGTCGCAAAATCGTTTTCAGTGTCTGATGACGAATTTCCCCCACGAATCATTATCACTCAATTCTGCAAGTAGTTCTGATTTACTATCGCTGTTCTCTAGCCGGTCTAAAACCGCTTTTGACCTAAAGGGACGCTTTTTGGACGCCATGGACGTTTCTCAGTTTCCAGGCAGAAAGAACAGTAAAAATGCAGGCAGGGCGCCGGACAAAGCACTCGGGACAAAATGTATGTGAAATGGTTTGATACAGTAATGGTATACTATGTGATTGTAGTGCATTGAGTGAATGTCACTTTTTAACATTTTTAAATTTCCCGACGGTTCCGTCCCCCGTACGTCCCAACATTGCAGGGAACGGAAGACGGATGCCGGCATCGGCCGGAGGACACTGCAGGGGGGACATTGCGGGAGCGCAGGACAAGGTAAGTGCAGAAGAGATCCCGGAGCAACGCTGCAGGCTATTCCCGAGTGTAGCTTGGGGTTACCGCTTGTGGTGCTGAAACTTTACCCAAAGCTACACTCGGGAATACCTCCAGGGAGGTTAACAGAAGCTCTGCTGACTTCCATCATCCAATCATGTGCAAGCAAAAGTGCTTTTTCAATTTTCCTTGCATGTGATTGGATATTCCTTACAAAGTGAATCTTTATCTCATTTACAAAGCTCTGGAGCAATTGCACTTGCAGAGTGCAAGTGCACCTTGTATGGTGCATAGTCTATTTGCCTTTAGTAAATCAACCCCAGAGTCTCTTCTAACTCTTTTTGAATCGGCTGCCACTGAGTCAGACATTGTTGGATTATCCCTTCACCACCTTTGGACTCTACAGACTTTACTTGTGTGGTTTATTTACTAGCCATCAAATAATACATCTGGTCTTTTTCCTCTTATTGCGCCAAATATCTCTCTTGTTAATGGTGATCTTATCCTTTCATTCTTGAATTGCCTGTCATAACTGAAATGAAATTCTCTTTTTTGGTAGCTTATGACAAAGCATCCTGGCAAACGCCTGGGCTGTGGACCAGAGGGGGAGCGAGATATAAAGGACCACGCATTCTTCCGATATATAGACTGGGAGAAGCTTGAGAGGAAAGAGATCCAACCGCCCTACAAGCCAAAGGCGGTAAGCTGTCCCTGCAGTACCACTCTTCTATCCTCTACAACCTTTCGCTGCCGTCTGTGCCAAACTCGCTCTGTTCTGTGTGTTTGTGTATTTGTGGACACCGTGGTTGTGGTGCGTGTTTTATGTGTCATTGCGCTCTGTGTGTGTTCACTCTTTGGCTCTGTGTGTGGCGGTGTGGTCCGTTTTGTGTATGTTTGCACACAGTATGTGTACATTGCGCATTGCATAGACTTTGTCATTAGGTTGTAACAGTCGAAGGAGACTTCTCCTTTAAATTATCCCCAATTCTGGCCAAATGTACCTTCCCAGCTGGAATAGCATTTTCTCCTTATTTAGATTTTTTTTCAGCCATAAAATTCTATAAATAAAACGTTTTTATACAACCGTGTGTATCATAATTGGACAGGCTTTTTTTAGGTGGACCTGTCACAGCAAATGTGGTACCTTTTCATTATTTATTTTTTCTTTAAAGCGAACCTCTGCGCAGATTATGCACACTAAATGTATTTATATATTCTGAACAAGCAGTGGGAGCACATTTAAAACCATTCCTCATTCACTTCTGTAGCTGTAGGCATTGTGGAGAAATGAATTTTCAGTTTTACAACAGAGGCCTGGAAATCTCAACTCCTCTCCTCTTTATTTTCAATAGAAGAGCATGGCAGCCTGACAGCACTCTAACACACACACACACAACAGGTGTTTTAAGCTGTTTAGAGAAAATAACAAATTTTAGAGCCTTTCATGTGATCTTTAAGGAGGAATTGCTTCATAGTACCATCAGCTACAGAGGTCAGTGAAGGCTTGTTTTAAAGCTTTTACAGCTTCTTTAGAATTTGTAAATATCTTAATGTTGATAGTCTGTGCACGGGTGCACTTTATTTCTTTTTCTTTTGCACCCTGATATGCTGCCTCCCACGTGCCATCCCTCCTTCCTGCCTTTACAGCTTTCTAGTTACCTGATATATGTAAAGAAACTGGGTGTATAGTAGCCTCACTTTGGTGCTGAAAAGTATCTTCTATTTTAACAGTTAGTCAGGGGTTCATGACACTAGGCTTCATTGATCAAAATCTTTGAGGGAGACATTCTCGGACAGTCACAATTCCCATAGCAGCAACCAATGAGATTTTCCCTTGTATTCATTAATGCAGGAGAACAGAAGCAAGAATTTGATTGGTCAGGACATGGGTTTTTTTTTTTTTTTTTTTTAATAAATCAGAGGTTCAGGCTATGCCTAGTAAAAGCCTAACTCAAGATGCAACATTTCAGTACTTTCTTGGGAAACAGGCTCTGCCAGTGTTTTATTGACATTGCTGTTCCCATCAAGGAGATTCCCCTAATCTCTGTAATGGGGACACAGACAAAAATACATATTTAGTATAGTGATAAAGGGGGTTAGAACTTACTGCTGACCGTGCCTTCCTGACCCAGTGACAACTGTATCCCCATTGCACAGTTGTCACAGGAACAGGTAGTGAGGGAGAACTCCTCTGTGACGTAACAGGTTAAAAACAAAAATGATAGAAATTTTTAACTCCACCTCATTTTATCCAAAACTAAAAAAAAAAATAAAATAAAAACTATTTTAGAATTTAAGACATTCTGTGCATCTTTACTAGTGGAATCCCCCAATAATAATAGTACAAATGACTTTATAAATTTAAAAGAGAACTTTTGAAGGTTCCTCCCTAGACCCAGCATTCCTAGTTTGTTCTCAAACTATACTCTCATATTCTATAATGTTATTCTTATATTCTCTCATTGGCCAAATGTTACAGCAACTCATTGTTAACCACATTCTCGCATTAAAAAAAGAAACCCAAGACCATGCCTTTATTTAGCAAGGCAAAGTGGGACGAGCCATAGTGATTCATTATACATTGGGGGTTATATACTAAAACTGGAGAGTTCAAAATTTGGTGCAATTTTGCGTAGAAACCAATCAGCTCCTAGATTGTTGGGGGGTTTTATTTTGTCAAACTGAACAAGGCTACCATGCACAGCTGCACCAGTTTTAGTAAATCTACCCCATTGGCATTTTGTAGTCTCATGATGAAACTGAATTGTGGTTATGGAAGGTTATAATTATGCCCTTTAGTGGTTATAGGCTCTGCATGTGTCACTTGAAGAGACACGGTCATTTTTCCCATGCTAGGAAAGGCAACCGTGTCTATAGAAAGGTCATCTGACCCCTATACGTATATTTTATCTCTGCCTCCTTGCAGCTTCTTGCAATAAAACCATTTGTATTGGCGACCCAGGGGAGCGGTGACCGCGCTCTTCCAGTCATATGACAGTACTTGAGCATAGCAATTGGCTACTAGGTACAGTCACAAAAAAAAGTAGGTCATTTTGCCTACTCCAGAGAAGCAAAGCGCTGCGAGAGTGCAATTAAAGTAGGCGTATGGGGGTTGGAACGTTCCACTTTTTTTTTGCCTTGCCCTGTCACTGTGTAGGAGTGGTAACAATGTCTCTTACCCCCGGTTCACATCTGTGCGGGTGGTGCCGCTGCAGATCCTCACGAAAATCCGTGCAGCCGCACCACCCGCACAGAAAATTGCGGGCCCCGCAGGCGGATGAAATTAGTTCTAATGGCACGCCGCCCGCACTGGGAAATGCAACCGTACTGGAATCCGAGGGTCCTGAGTTCAAGAGTAGCACAGGGACTTCTTTCGCTGTGTGTCACGGGCACGGGAGTCCATTCAAATGAATGGGCTCTCGTGCCCGAGCAAAACGCGGCTTGCACGGCCACATAAGTATGAACCGAGGGTTAAGGGGTATTAAGGCTCAGCCATGAAAACCGAAGAACAGAAACCTGGAGGTGTTGCTCTTTTTTGAAGAGAACCTTATTGCAACGCAATTGGCATCCTCCGAGCACCTGTCTGATTTTCAGCATTTGAAGGTCTACGGAATGCTGACATGGAGGGTGAGGAGGAGGAGAGGTCACATGACTGCGTTCACCCCTCCCCTCAACTCCTGTTTGCCTTTCTGTGACCTATTTTAGTGTGAGCAGGAGAAGCTGAGGCATTCTGACAGTTTACAAGACAGCAGCAGTCTGAATAATTCAATCTTTGTAGTTTGCAGTTACATTTATTAAAAATGCACCATCTGTTTTGCTGCTTCTTCCTGAAAGGTATACGCTGCAGAGCGGTATGCATTTATTACATAACGCCCCAGCATACGGCTTGTGGTTTTAATCACATAAATGGCTGCGGTAAAAAAAAAAAAAAAAAGCAGCATCACAATTAAAATAGAAATGTGCATCTGAGGATGTGAAGCCTCGCTGTACCAGCTACATCAATTTCTGAGGGCCTAACTTATCTAAGAGTCAAACCAAAAAGTTGTCCCCATCTGCGTTCTTCAAATTGGTCTGTCCATGGTCTCTTTCCCAGTGCATTAGGAGAGGATACCTCTGATTTCGAGGTCCTACACACACCATCTTAGAAGCTTAAATTCACAAAGCTACAGCAATAAGAGCTAAAATGTTGTTCACTTGATAGAAAATATTGGTCACATGCCAAAACCACACGCTTTATGAAATTGGCTACATCAATTTCTGAGGGCCTAACTTATCTAAGAGTCGAACCAAAATGTTGTCCCCATCTGCGTTCTTCAAATTGGTCTCTCCATGGTCTCTTTCAAAGTGCATTATGGGAGAATAAGAGGATACCCCTGATTTTCTAGGTCCTACATACACCATCTTGGAAGGTGAAATTCACAAAGCTGCAGAAAATATTTTACAGCAATAAGAGCTAAAATGTTATTCACCCAATAGAAAATATTGGTCACATGCCAAAACCACATGCTTTATGAAATTGGCTACATCAATTTCTGAGGGCCTAACTTATCTAAGAATCTAACCAAAAAAGTTGTCCCCATCTGCGTTCTTCAAATTGGTCTCTTCATGGTCTCTTTCCCAGTGCATTAGGAGAGGATACCTCTGATTTCGAGGTCCTACACACACCATCTTAGAAGGTTAAATTCACAAAGCTACAGCAATAAGAGCTAAAATGTTATTCACTTGATAGAAATAGTCTCTTTCCCAGTGCATTATGGGAGAACGAGAGGATACCTCTGATTTCGAGGTCCTACACACACCTTCTTAGAAGGTTAAATTCACAAAGCTACAACAAATATTTACAGCAATAAGAGCTAAAATGTTGTTCACCCAATAGAAAATATTGGTCACATGCCAAAACCACACGCTTTATGAAATTGGCTACATCAATATCTGAGGGCCTAACTTATGTATAAGAGTCTAACGAAAAAGTTGTCCCCATCTGCGTTCTTCAAATTGGTCTCTCCATGGTCTCTTTACCAGTGCATTATGGGAGAATACCTCTGATTTCAAGGTCCTACACACACCATCTTAGAAGGTTAAATTCACAAAGCTACAGCAATAAGAGCTAAAATGTTTTTCACTCGATAGAAAATTATGGTCACATGCCAGAACCACACGCTTTATGAAATTGGCTACATCAGTTTCTGAGGGCCTAACTTATCTAAGAGTCTAACCAAAAAGTTGTCCCCATCTGCGTTCTTCAAATTGGTTTCTCCTTGGTCTCTTTCCCAGTGCATTATGGGAGAATGAGAGGATACCTCTGATTTCGAGGTCCTACACACACCTTCTTAGAAGGTTAAATTCACAAAGCTGCAGCAAATATTTACAGCAATAAGAGCTAAAATGTTATTCACTCGATAGAAAATATTGGTCACATGCCAAAACCACACGCTTTATATGAAATTGGCTACTTCAGTTTCTGAGGGCCTAACTATCTAAGAGTCTAACCAAAAAGTTGTCCCCATCTGCGTTCTTCAAATTGGTCTTTCCATGGTCCCAGTACATTATGGGAGAATGAGAGGATACCCCTGATTTTCGAGGTCCTACATACACCTTCTTAGAAGGTTAAATTCACAAAGTTACAGCAATAAGAGCTAAAATGTTTTTCACTCAATAGAAAATATTGGTGACATGCCAAAAAAACATGCATTGTAGCTG